TATTCTTTGATTTCCTTTTTTAAAAATAAATATGACACATAACATTTATTAAATCCATAAATACATGGATATTTAAGAGCAAGTTAGTGGGGGAACAGAGAACAGTATGACAAATGGTAATTTTCATGGTGAGTGAAGGTCCATGAAAGAAGTCCTGGAAGCTCAAAGGGGCTGAGCTGGGAAGGTAACATAAAATGTAGCCTTTAGGGACCAGAGATTATTTGATTTCTTAATGATGGCCATACTTTCTGGAGATAATACCCCCAATTTGTGAGTGAGAAAATTTGAGGCTCATAAAGTGCAATGACATGCTGTTGCAGGATTTTTGTGTAAAGAGACAGGACATCAAGGCCTTTTACTCCTGCTGGCACTGACTCAGTGAATTTGTGTCCAAAGGCTGAACGCAAAACATGGCATAGGTGCACCCTTTTATACAATTTTTGTGTCATTGGCTCCCATGTATGGGCATACACTAACATTCTACAGTCTGGTTAGGTATGATTTATGTCAAAGAGTTACTATATATGCACACAGAGGCCGATATCTCTACATTGTAAAAAGTTCCCACCCAGACCCTTAACACAGTGCCTGAGACTACCCAATCAATCACGGCTTTAAACAAGGCCTAGTTTTGTTCTTCAGACCTCATCATGCTGCTTCTTTGCATCTTTTCCTACTCCTAATCCACATCGACATTCATATTTGACCCATCTTAGTAATTTTCTTGCCACAGAGGCTTTTTTAAGACAGACTACAATCATTTACTTCACTTTCAGCGACAGTGTAAAGACAGTCAAATGCTTGCTGTGAGCTGCATGGGTCGTCTGTCCTTTTTCTCCACTTCCTTCTTCAGGCACAGGTCCCACCCAGGTCTCTATCACGAATGGATTTCCCTTTAGCTCATTGTGCAGAGCCATACAGGTGCTTTGAACTCATTTTCATTTATCATCTGGGTCATCTCACAACTTACCTCTGCGGACTGTCTTTCCCTTGAGAATGGATCACATTTCCCGTTTGTTTGTATGTTAAACCATTTTGGATTATAAAGTATTGTGGATATTATGTTGCAGAGTCACTGGATTCTGTTATATTTCTCAGAAGCATGTTGATAGTTATGATTTAGCAAATGGTTAATTTGATTAAACTCCTATTGCAAACTTTATCCTCACCCATAGTGGACGGAGGCTCAAAGTATAGTTCTATTTCTCTCTCTCCAGGGACTCAAGGTTATCCTTGAACTTACAGGGATACTCCTGCCTCAGCCTTTTGAGTGCTGGAATTGCAGACGTGCTCCACCACGTCCAGTTACTGTTCTTTATTCTTCAGCTGCACTGCTTACAGTCTGACACCATGCATAATTCAGGAATCAGCCAGAGTCTTGGGCAAAGTTTGCACTGAAAATTCTCAGCTTCCGTATTCATCTCATTTTTGTTACTATAAGGAAGTACCTGAAGCAGGCTAACTTTGTAAAGAGAAGAGGTTTATTTAGCTCATCATTCTGGGGATTCCAGAGCATGATGCCAACTTCAGCAGTGGCCCTGGCAAGGATTTCATGGTGGATGGCAGGTCAGTAGATGGGAAGAAGTGATCTTACCATCAGGCAGGAGGCAAGAGAGAGATTCAGGGCTGAGGTTCAGGCTTTCATGAGAGCTGAGCCCCACCAGAGCTCCCCAACCCCCCGAAGGATTAAGTACCTGCAGTGATTTAAGGACCACCTGGTAGGCCCAGATTTTCAAACCTTAATGCGGTCTTCCCACCAGCACGCATCTCAGGCTTACCGCACCCGGAAGGTCCACAGAATGCCCACCCATTGTGCCCTCCTTTCCGGCCTGTGTTTTTGGGCATGCGCCCAGCTGTCTGCCCGCTGGGTCCTCAGGCTGGACCTCAGCCTCGCTTTCCACAGGGGGAGGGCGGATTGGTGCTCTGTGCCCTGCTACGACTGTGGCTGCAAACAAACAGGAAATTTACCTTATCCTCATCCCTTCCTCTAAGTTTTACTCTTCTCCAAAAATCTGCCACTCTGTTCATTCTTCAAAGCCCTCAAGCAATTGTTTTCTGTACGTTTTTACTGCAGTTGTAACTATTACCTGCAGAAAGGTTGCTTTATCATCTTAGATACTAAAAACATAATTCTATCTAGATCTGTTTTAGTTGCTACTATAACTAGCCACCCAAAACTTGGGGACTTAAAAGAACAGCAGTCTAGCCAGGCATGGTGACGTATACTGGCAGCTGGCACTGGACTGCAAAACCCGGAAGCTTTTGGGAGCCTTGGTGGGAATGGAGGGAAGGGTCTGAGGCTCCGGATTGCTGCTTCTTCTTCCTCTCCTCACTGCTTCTTTTCTTCCTCCTTCTCTTTTTTGATTTTTCCTCGTCCTTTTCTTCTCCTCTTTCTTCCTCTTCCCCTGTTCTTCTTCTTCCTAGCTTTCTGTCTCTGTCTCTTTCTGTCTATGCCTCCCTCCCTCCAGGACCTTTATCAGCTACTCTTCCAGTTTCTTCGCCCCCAGCCTCTCTCTCCCTATGGATTCTGTCCTCGAGCATGAGGGTGACCTCCATAGCTTTCTTCTTAAAGTAACAACAACAAAACTCTACTGCACCTCTTACACTATCTATCATCCCTCACAACCAACTCCCTAAACTCGTGGTGCCTCTCCACAGCCCCGTCCTCTATCACTGACACGCTTTCCAGTCCCACAGGAGACAGGAGGCGTCTGTCAAGGCCGCTCGCGCTTTCCTCTTGCTAAATAACAACAGACGTGGCCCCAAGCTTCTGATCAAACTGCAGCAGCAGCAGCAGCAGGACACAGGAGAGGGGAAGTGGGTGACAAAATAATCAAGATGTGTGATGTCCATGAACGGACTCCCCGCCGGGAACGTGATCGCTACATATTGGAAACCTGTGCTAATGAAAATGTTAAGAATTCCAGCGGCACTGAATGGTGCAGAACAAGCCTCCCTTGAAACTCTCTCCTACTTGACTGATTTACTTCACTCTTTTTTCTCTGACAGTGCAGCTCCTTGCCACATCTTTTGCTCTGTGTTCATTCCTAAGTTCTTCTTTGGGGCCCTCTTCCTTTTTGGTTTTAAATATTCTCTTGCCTGGCATGGTGGCACACACCTGTAATCCCAGCACTTGGGAGGCTGAGGCCGGAGGGTTGCTGTGAGTTCAAGACCAGCCTGGGTGACATAGTGAGACTTTGTCTCAAAAAAACAAAAACTCAAACCAAAACAAGACAAAGAGGGTCTGTACTCTCTGGAATGCACTTCTCAAACGTCCTTTCTTGTCTCTCCTCAACGCTCCCTCAAACCCCCCACCTGCTCCTTTTCTTTTCTGTCTCCCACGGTGTACTCTGGGTCATAACATCCAACGTGCGTTACCGCCTGGCTGTCCCATCCACCCCGATCCATGACCTTGAACAATCTACATGACCACGGCGTACTTCAGTTTCTTTCTTTTTTGGCACCACTGAAGAATAAACCTTTCCACTGAGCTACATCCCTACCCCTTTTTTATTTTTTCAGTACCAGGAATTGAACTCAGGCCTTGCCTGGCAGGTACAGTGGCACTGAGCTAAATCCCTGGCCCTTCCAGCCCTTTTTAAATGTTTATTTTAAGTCAGGGCCTTGCTAAATTTCCCCTCCCTCCCTGGGCCTCTGGCCTGGCCCAGCTGTCCCTGCTCATGCTTCAGGCCTGCATGTAGACCTCAGTTCCCACTTCAGATCTGGTCCGCATCCCTGTCTTCCCTCTGGTATTCATCCCACCGAGTTGTCGCCTCCTCCTGTGTATCTCTCTGCACCTCCACTAGACTAGAGTTCTGTGAGAACAAGAGCCCTGTCTTCCTTCTTCCTCTCCCTGTTATGGGCTGAACTGAACCTCTCCAAAATTCCCATGATGAGCACACAAGGTTGAACATCACATGCCTTCTCTTACATGAGAAACCCAAAATATAAATAAGTAAAAGAGCAAAATAAAAGATGATAGAAAACAGGAAATAGTTCTTTTGCAAAAAGGGAAGGAGACAAACAGATGGAGGGAGGGGATAGGGGAGGAAAAGGGAATGAAAAAGAATTGAGGCTGGGGTTTTGCTCAGTGGCACGGTGCCTGTCTCACAAGCACAAGGTCCTGAGTTCTATCCATGGAGGGGGAGGGGAAGGAGGAGAAGAAGAAAAACTGGGGTGTGTTACCTACATGCACCAACTCCCCACGATCAGTGTGATCATCATATGCTGCAAATGTGGACTAATAAACATTTAAAAATTTCTAAAAATCACGTGCTCAACTCCTAAAAATTTCTTAAAAATCACGTGTTCAACTCCTAATCATGTGTTCAGAGCCTCCGAATGCAACTGGAACGGCAGTAGGTCTTGAAGGTGGAAACGAGGTCCTCAGCGTGGGTCCTCGGCCAACATAACCTGTGTCATTGTGAGCAGAGCACTGGACCGCAGGTGCTCACTCTCGTGCACAGAGGAGACAGACGTCCCCAAGCCAAAAAGACCAAGGAGAAACCAGCTTCCGAGCGGACCCGGACTCAGAACCGCGGGCTGTACCTCCAACAGCGGCAGCCATGCAACCCAAGGCGCGAAACCCTCAGTGTCGCTCGTCCCCACCAGGAATGCCCGGATAACGGGGCCGGGCACGCTCTCTCCGCCCTAAGACACTGCAGAAAAGTGAGATCAAACTCAACTGTAAATATAACGCCGTGTTTCAAATACTTGCAAATCATTTCCCTTTCCTTCCTCTTTTAGAAACAGATGGCAGGAAATCTTAAAAAGCTGTTGCATAAACAGCTGAACCGAAAGAGAACATTTACAGTACCCACAGTCCAAACAGCGTGGCTTCTGGTGGGTCCATCGCTGCTCTTCAGTTAGCAGGGTGACTGTTTGAAAGGGTCGGCAGAATTGCTAAGATCTCAGACCCAGGCACCAGACACCCCAAGACTGTCAAGCACCCCAAATTCAGGGCAAAGAGCCTTGGGAGGGGGAGGGGTTTGAATACTCACTCGCATTCTCCTGTGGGAAAACGCTAGTGTTCTCTTTAACCTTCTCTCATTGGCTGATGACAACCGGAAGCAGAGACTACATCCGGTGCTGCTGCTGTTCTTAGGGCGCTGGGACATTCCAAGCAAAGGTCCTTTTTCCAGAGCTAAAAAGAAAACATCTGGAATTTACAGACTCCTGTTAATATCATATCTGCTGAGAAATTAGAATGCCCTGATATTCAAATTCTGCGATGAAATAATTTATTCTGCTTCCGGTTCCATTTCCCAATCATAATTCATGCCTGTAATCCCAGAACTAGGGAGGCTGAGGCAGGAGGATCGCCATGAGTTCAAAACCAGCGACTTCAAAACAACCCTGAATTACAGAGCAAGACCCTGTCTAAAAAATAAATAAAATAAAAATCTCAATCATCTAAGATTTTTATAAAAGAAATATTGAAGAAAATGGTTGTGAAAAAAGAACAATCAGGCCAGGTAGGTGACAACGCCTATAATTCCAGCTACTTGGGAAGCTGAGGGAGGAAGACTACCAGCCTGGCTACGTCAGCCTAGGCAACTTTGCAAGACTGTGCCTCAAAATGCAATTTAAAGAATTGAATTGCAGCCAGGTGTGGTGATGCACACTTTTAATCCCAGCACTGGGGAGGCTGAGGCAGGAGGATCACTTCGAGTGCAAGGCCAGCCTGAATATATTGAGACCCTATCTCAAAAAGCTAATTAATTAATTAATTTTAAAAGGTCTGGGGGTTTAGCTCAGCAGTATAGTGCACTTGTTTAGCTTGTAGGAGACCCTAGGTTCAATCTTCAGTACCACCACCAAAAAAAAAAAGGTCTTAGCGCTGGCGGTGGCAGTGGTGGTGATGACGAAAATAGTTGGGGGTATTTTGGGTCAGATCTAGCTCTGTAACTCCCAGCGGGCTGGCCTCAAAACCAGGGCTCAAGCGATCCGCCTGCTTCCGCCTTCTGAATACCTGGCATTATTAGGTGCACACTGCCACTCTCGCCTGAAGTCTAACATTTTTTAATTCTTTGGCTATTTAGGTATTTCTACCTCCCAGCACACTGCCTGATACATACTAAGTGCTATTCAAATAATAAGTCGCTTCACTAAAAAGCCTTTTCAAACATAGCACTGAAGGGAAATACCAGCCTCTATCTTCACGCTTAGAAACACTGGATGTTTCCATTGGGCCAGAAGGCGCGTCTGGCAACGCGGCCCCCAGGAGTGACGGGGAACAGCGCCGCCAAGTGGGCTACCAGGGAACTGCACCTCTAACGGCAGCCGAGGTGTGAGCAAACTGCTTAGGTCGCGAAGCAGGGAAGGCGCTCCGTGCTGCCCTAACCTGTTTGCTCCAGGGAGCAGCCACTGGAGTGGTTTAAGGTACTTGGCGAGGAGTGAAAGAGTTGGAGGAAAGGTAACGAGGTTCAAAAATTTCCATATCACGGACCATTTCTCAGCCAGGGGAGGCTTAGACAGGAGCATCACAAGTTGGAGCCCAGCCTGGGAAACTTAGTGACTTTAGTGAGACCCTGTCTCAAAATAAAAAGGCCTGGGGATGTAGCGGGTGCAAAGGTCAAGGAGAGAGATAGAGAGAAAAAAAAAAGTAATTACTCCTAGGCCTGTGGCTCAGGCCGAGCCTGAAGATGGCCCTTCGTCTTTTTCCTGCTCCCTTTCTCCTCCATAGATTAGAGACCCTGGAAGGACGGCACAGCCAGGGAGACAGTTACCTTGCATCCTTCCCTGCTCCCTTCCTGCGCATGCCCCAATCAGAAACAATCACTACATTCGGCCTAGGTCACGTAGGACACGTAGGACACGTAGGTCACGTATTCCACGTAGCACTATCTGCCCCGCCTTCTCTTCCTGTTTTCCTTCCACTGTAAATAAAGAGTTCCTGGTGCTATAGGCAGCCATTAACTCCCGACAAGCTATGGAGTGAGCCGACTTGTTGCGGCAGAGCAGAGCAGCTCGGTGCTATAGCCTAGTGTTACAGCTCAGTGTCGTAGCCTAGTGCCACAGCTCAGAGGCGCACCTCAGTGTTGCAGCCAAGTCCTACAGCTCGGAAGGCACAGCTAAGCCTTACAGCCCAGTGTGGAGGCTCTGGAACACAGCTCTGAGGCACAGCTGAGCTTCACAGCTCAGTGTGGCAGCTTTAGGTCTCAGCTCTGATAATTTGAAAACTCAAGAATCCGATGGTCAGTTTAAGAGGTGGAGAAAATACACGACACTGAAAGGTCGCCGAAGAAAGGGGGGCACACACGGACGTTCAAGCAAGCTTTATTGGGGCAGCAGTCTGCAGCCTGCCGGGCTGACTCACAGAATGGAGACCAGCAACTGTATGGGCTGAGCTGGAAGCTTATATAGGGATCTTGCAGGTGGGAGAGCGCTAGGCCATTGGTGGGCGTGGGTAATTGGGGTTGGGGTAACAATAGGTTTCAGTCGGGGGACGGAGTAACTGCTTTCGGGAAGCCCCTATCTCACTGGAATATCTGACTCAGAAACCGGTGGGGCAGAAAGATCTTAACTAGGCAGAAAGTCACTAACAAAGGGAGGTCATGCCTTAGCTATGCGCAAGTTCCCTGTTCCTTGTGGTCAGAGTGGGGCAAAGGGAAAGGAGAGGAGGGGGCTTGCTCTGTGGGGGCTCTGAAATACCTAACAGACACCAGTTCAGCCCCAGCAGGCTCAGAAGAGTCTCAGCAATGCCAGAGATGTGAGCCTCCTTATGTAGGGGTCTACAGGGTAGGCGAGCAAGCTCACTGAAGCAGAGGGGTGGAGTTACAGAACATTCCTGAAGCAAAGGGGTTGGAGTTACGGAACATCCCTGAAACACGTGCATGTGAGCATGCTCACTGAAGCAAAGGGCCAGAGTTACGGAACATTCCTGAGAGGGGCGGAGCTTAACGGAACATCCCTGAAATGTCACACAGTTCAATCACAAACCATTTTGATAGGCTGAGGAGGACCCAGCAACACAAACTTACATTTCCAAAACAAAACATGCTGTGGGGGGAGAAATGGAGGCAAGGCAAGGGCCTGTCTTATAGCTCACTGCGGGAGGCATGACGGGCAGGGCCTGGGGCACCGGCACTGGAAGCCTCCAGGCCGGGAAGCTCTGTGTCAGTCTCTGCCTTGGCCTAGGCCTCGCAGTCTCCGGGCCCCATAGCCATCATCACCCGGAGAAGCCTGTGGGAGGCAGCTACGTGGGCAAGGAATCAACACTCAGGCCGAGAGGGCCCGGAAGTCAGCACAGGAGGGCGGGCTGCGGCCTTGACGCCGAGGAGGCGAATCGAGGGAGCCAGGGCCTCCAAGCCCGGCCTTGAGGCGCAGCGGTGAGGCCTCCCTGACCACCAGGCCTGGCTCGGCCCGCTCAGGCCTCCGTAACTGGTGCCCCGAACCCCTGCACCCTCCTCCCTCCCGTCGGAGAATCCGCGTCCTGTGACCCGTGCCCCGGCCTGGTCTCCCTGCTGGGACCTGATCAGCCCAGCCGCTCTGCCTGTGACTATAGTGTGAGTGGCGTCTGCCCCGCGTTGGCCCCCAAGACATGCCTGACAAAGGTCCACAGCCACTCACTCAGGACCCTTCCGGAAACCCAGCAGCTCTGCTCCTCTCCTTATTTCCAACCAAACTCTCCTAATTTCCTCCTTTGGTTTGCAGCTTCATGCCCGGTGTTGTAGGACCAGGAGCTGGGCACGTTTGACTTCTAACAGGGCAGAGGTTATGTCTTTCCTGTATCGTCGTTATTGTTTTGTTTTTGGTACCGGGGATCGAACTCGGGTCTTTCCACTTGCGCAGCAGGCGGTGAAACCACTGAGTTAAATCCCCGGCCCATTCGTCGTTATTGTTATTACTTATTTGTGGTGCTGGGGATCCAACCCATGCGTACTCTGCCACTGAACTACAGCCCCAGCCCCTTTTTAAATTTCTGAGCCATGATCTAAGTTGCCAAGATGGGACTTGAATTCGAAACCCTCCTGCCTCAGCCTTCCAATGTGCTGGGATCACAGGTGTGCACCATAACTGTATCATTGGCTGGGCGTGGTGCACACTTGTCATCCCAGCACTCAGGAGGCTGAGGCAGGAGGATCGCTGTGAGTTCTAGGCTCCATAGTGAGTTCCAGGCCAGCCTGAACTACATAGCGAGGCCCTGTCTCAAAAAAAAAAAAAAAAAATTCAGGGAGTAAAGGGCAGGCGCTCAGATTCTGGACCTGTGACTGTCCCAGAGCACCGGCACAGGCGTGAGACAGGTGTGAAGATGATCCCGGTTGCAGAGAGACGGGCTGAAGCCTCCTTATGCCATTTGCCAAAACAACGCTGTGGATTTAGCAGCGCCGCCATCTGAACTCCTGCCAAGGAAAAATAGCTAATCAGGGTGATTGCGCGGAGCCCTTTCCACCTGCTATGACGCTGCTGAACTTAATCAAAAAGCATTTATTAAACACTTAGCTGCACGTGGTGCAGCGCCCCCCCCCCCCGCCTCCCCAGCGGTCACCATGGGGACGGGAAGGAAGCTGGGTCCCCTGTGCGCCAGGCCTGGAGGGAAGGCTGGGGCCGCTGGTGTCCGTGCTGTCCACACCAGGACCACGAAAACGACGCTAGAGTTGCAAACTTCAAGGCTCCTTCCTCAGCAGCACACAGCCTTGAGGGGAAGACAGGCAGACACAGGAAGATGTGCTCAGAGTAAAAGGCTTCCTTAAACTGGTAAAACGGGTGGGAAGCAGGTTTGTAATCGAGCACTCCGGAGGCTGAGGCAGGAGGGTTGCAGTATGAGCACAGCTTGGGCAGTTTAGCAACTTTGCGAGACGCTGTTTCCAAAACATAAAAAAATTTCTTTTAAAGTCTGGGAATGGGGCAGGGATTTAGCTCAGTGGTTCTGCCGCCTGCCTCACAAGTGCAAGGTCCTGAGTTTGATCCCCAGTACCAAAAAAATAAAATAAAAGTCTGGGAATGTAGCTCTGTGGAAAGGTCTAGGTCCAGTCCCCCGTGACACACACACGGAGATGACAGCTTTCAAGCACTGAGACATGGAAGGAGGAGAGAGAGAGAGAGTGTGTTGCGGCGCAACTTGCAATCCCAGCACTGGGGAAGCTGAGGCAAGAGGATCACAGAGAGTTAAACGCCAGCCTGGGCTACATAGCGAGACCCCGTCTCAAAAAAAATAATGGAGGGGGCTGGGTATTTAGCTCAGTTGTGCCGCCGCCTCGCAAGCGCAAGGTCCCGAGCTCGATCCCCGGTACCAAATAACAATAATAATAATGGAGGGAGGGGAGGAGGAAGAAAAATGGAAGGCAGAGCCGTGTGTAGCACATAATCTGAGATGAAAGGACGTGTCCCGCAGTCGTTGGGAAAGGACTTCTTTCCAGCCCCTTACCTCCGAGCTGTATCTGTCCTGCGCTTCATCCAGGCCGCGGTGCAGGCAGCAGTGGCTGCGGGGCTGCGTCCCCTCCTCCCTTAGGCCCCGCGTGCAGCTCCGAGGCTGCCCCGGGCCCAGCTCATCCTCGGACCAGGAGTCCAGCGGACCCAGGGCCCGGGCGCCAAGCTGCCTGCGGGAGGCCTTCCGGCGGCGGGAAGGGACGCGGAGGGCCGGGCAGCGGCGCGGAAAGCCGGGTGTGGGCTGAGTACTCACTCACACTGGCAGCTCTCAGGACAGCCTTCTACTCTAATGCATGAGCTCAGGGACCTCAGTCTTTCCACCCTGTTCTTCTTCACCTTTGGGGGTGGGGGTGGGGGTGAGACAGGGTCTCATTTGTGTGGTCCAGGCTGGCCTCCAACTTGTGGTGATTCTCCTGCCTCAGCCTCCTGAGGCCTGGGGTTACAGGCATGCACCACCACACCTGGCTTTGAGCGTGTTTTTAAGATCCTCCCCTACATTTGTCATTTTCTCCTCATAGGAATGCCGGCGATGTCATACACCTCGTTCTGCTGCCGCATGATTTCCCTGCTTAGCATTATCTGTCCCAAGTTTGACTCAGTACGTATGATTCAGAAGTAGACCAGGTGCTAAGCATGGGGACTATGACACTGACGTTTAAGTCACCCCCCCCCGGCTTTATTTGTTTTGGCTACTTTCCAATAACTTATAGGGAGAAAACTTAATTTTTAAATACATTATATTATATGGTTTATTTTTCAAAGAACTTTTCCCAATAACTTTCCAAAGCATAATTTGTTTGTTTTTGTTTCCTTTGTTTTGTTTTGCTGGTGTTTTTGAGACAGAGTCTTGCTATGTAGCCCAGGCTGGTCTTGAACTCAGAGTGATTCTCCTGCCTCAGCCTCCCAAGTGCTGGGATTACAGGCAGGCGCCACCAAAACCCGGCTCAGAGCACGATTTTGTTCAAAATATTTTAATTGTAAAATAATGGCCCTGTTCCAATAAATACATATGCAGCAGTGTGCACAGAAGGAAGTAACAAGTTCAGCACAGCTCTATTTTTATGTCAAGTAACTAAAGCAACTTGTTCTGCAGTACTTGAGGTTCCCTAAGTGGAACGCAAGGACTGGGTGGTAGAAGCTGGCCCACCAGGCACAACCTCCACCCCCAGGACCACTATCATTGTCACTTGCCTTGTCGCTGGGACAAGATACCTGACACCTGCAATGTATGGGAAGAGAGGTCTGTTTTGGCTCGTGTTTCAGAAGTTTCCATCCATTGAGGGCCAGGGATGTAGCTCACTGGTGCCGCACCTGCCTCGCAAGTGCAAGGATCTGAGTTCGATCCCCAGTATCAGGGAAAAAAGCAAAACAAAA